ATTGGTTGAATATTGTGTCAGAGAGAATTTTTGGTAGTTGCGGGACTTGTTCACATCATCCAATTAGAAGGAGCTTTGGCCAAGACTCTTAACTCCGTTTCACTACTCTCCGGATATTTTTTCTAAAAAAAAAAAAATCAAATTTATAATTATAGATGCCAGGTTTCGGACTTTCGGACATTTTGCCAGTTTCGCCAGTTTCGGAATTATCGGATTTCTGGTCTTTTGGCGAAATATATTTCGCCCTATTTCGGGAAATTTCGCCCGAAACACTAATGCAGTATTTTCAAAAAAACCTCAACTTACCCATCCCTAAACATAATGTTTGGTGGCATAGAAACTATAATTGGGTCAAAAATGTTATTCAGGTTGAATGTTGAAGATACATAATTTAAACTACTATGTTAAATATTTAACTACGTAATTAGTTTATTAGTTAGCCAGTCAGAGCCAGAGTTTTTTCTATTTAATTAAAAACTTTCAATCTCTTTTGCTAAATAGATTAAGTTACTAATTATCATTTTTTGAAAAGAAATTCATATTTTAACTTGTTTAACACAGATCATGCGGTAATGCGTGCATATTGTGTAACAAACAAAATAAATAAAAGGATGGCATTAATACATCTCGTAAGTAGACATTCTTTTCTTGCATTAAAAAGAAAGCATGGAACAATTTTATAATAATCCATTATTAGAGCAGATAGAAAAAAATTGCAGTTCCTCAAATAATAATAACTCTAAGAATTTTCTTAATGAAATCGTTAAAGAAATGTGTAATCTGTATGAAAAAGAAAGATTAAGAAACCCCCCAAAATTAATTCTTGACATATTTGATCAATTACTAACAAGAAAAAATCAAAATCCAGATAATATTATCAATTATTGCTTGAATGATCAAATCAATCCTACGTCTCAAATAATCCTTGGACATTGCTATCGTTTTGGTAAATGGGTTGAAAAGGATGAACATAAGGCGTTCATTTATTATCAAAAATCATCAGAAATTGGTAGTGCAATTGGAATGTCAATCGTTGGTTATTGTTATCACGATGGAATTGGAGTTGAAAAAGATGAAAATAAGGCATTTATTTATTATCAAAAATCTGCTGATATGAGTGATGCTGTTGGGACATATAATGTTGGTTATTGTTATTTTCATGGAATTGGAGGTAAAAAAGATAAAAATAAGGCATTTATTCATTATAAAAAATCTGCTGATATGGGTTATGCTGAAGGAACATTTAGGGTTGGTTATTGCTATTACAATGGAATTGGAGTTGAAAAGGATAACAGTAAGGCATTTATTTATTATCAAAAATCTGCTGATATGGGTCATACTAATGGAGCGTATATGGTTGCTTATTGCTATTACAATAGAATTGGAGTTAAAAAGAATAACAATAAGGCATTCATTTATTATAAAAAATCTGCTAATATGGGTCATGCTAAAGGAACATTTAATGTTGGTTATCGTTATCAAAAAGGAATTGGAGTTGAAATGGATAACAATAAGGCATTCATTTATTATCAAAAATCTGCTAATATGGGTTATGCTCGTGGAATAAAAAAAGTTGGTTATTGTTATCTAAATGGCATTGGAGTTAAAATTGATGAATATAAGGCGTTCATTTATTATCAAAAATCTGCTGATATGCATAATTCTAATTGATTTATATTTACTCAGTAAAGTCCAATTAAATAACTAAGTTGATATGAAAAATATGAATTTTTTTCACAGTAACATTCGGTAAATTTATTGTGATTGATAATGTTTATACTCAGTAGAGAACTAATTACGTATTGCATGTAATTGTGCTATTAAATTAGAAATGTAAAGAAATAAAATATGACGAATTTTATACGATATTAAATACTTTGTGATTGAAAATTAAACCATTGCTATCATTAAATTACGTAACTGTTTTATGCTTAACATAAACCGAATTCGTTTTGTGCTAATAAAACTAGAACTAGCGTCAAAACAAATAATTTAAATTTAACTATTCTTCACTTGTTTTAACATGTCAAATAATATTGATAATAATTTAATTACTATTAACGAAAGTGACGATGTTCAGTTTCTTCTTCAATTGATAAAGAATCTAATTCTGGTGGTCAGCCTCAAGCAGAAGTATGGGATGATTATATTGTTGACAAAAAAAACAGACATCTTTGATAATGACAAGTCTTATATTCCGCGTCAAAATACTTCTCCTTCTGTTTTTACTTTAGTGAATTCTAATACACCTATGGCTTCTGAAACAAAACTTAATATTGAAGATATAGCAGATCTTACTTTATCTTTGTTTAATTTTAATAACACGGAATTGTATTGCGAAAATTTGAAACCACAATCTAAACCGACATCAAGTAAAATTCATGGAAATATGGACTTTGAATCATCGAATATTATTGACGAGGTCTTAGGAATTGAAACTGATAATAATTAGCTTTAAAAAACTATACAACAAATAATTAGCTTTAAAAAACTATACTACAAATATCAACTATATTTAATGATGTTTGACGAAATTAGTTTTGCAATGACTTGATCCTCCGTCGACAAGCTTCTAATAATGACCTCTGAATATTCTGAATCATAAATTTTTTCAAAATTACTGATTTCATCATTGTAAAGAAAGATTCATCGGTTCATATAAAAACAGTAATTTTTTAATTGACGACGAACTTTTTTCTACCATTCTATTAAGTCTTCAGTTTGTTATAAAAAGTTAACTCTAAAAATTAACAAGCTCATACAATATTAATTTTAGCTTTACACCACATTGAATCTGAAGCCGATAATTTTTTTATTATCGGTAGTTTCACCTATCAGATACATCCGGTGAGTGACGCAAATCATCGGGTAATATGGACCTCAGTGCTAGGGATGAGAATCGAATCTTTGATAATCGTTTTAATCGTTTATCGAATTAGAATCGATCCTCATTTTTGTGTAATCGTTCTATTGCGCTTTGCTAAAAGGTGTGACCCTGTGATCTTCTTTGTGATGATAGAGGAAAACTTCCGTGATTCTAAATTTCCTATTGATCAAATATGTTAGTATATACCGATACGTATTGTCTAAAATCTGTAAAATTCTGTAAAATTCGGAAAATCACCTAATTTCCCGTGAT